TTTAGGAAAGGAAGCGGGCATGTAAAACCAAGTGTTTTACAGTGGAAAGTATAATTTAGTGAAAAGGTATTTAGGATAAGGCTTAAAGAGTTTTTTGTGGCATTTATGGATTTGGAAAAGGCTTTATGACAGGGTGGATAGGGATGCAATGTGGTTAGATGTTGCAGGTGTTATGGTGTAAGAAGTAGAGTAGATTATGAAATCAGTGAAGTGTTTTTGCAAGGATTAGTGAGGCTCAAGTTAGAGTATGTAGGAAAGAGGGAAATTTATTTCCCAGTAAAAGTAGGCCTTAGACAAAGAAGTGTGATGTCACTGTGGTTGTTCAATATATTTTAGATGAAGTTGTAGAGAATAAATGCGGAGGGTCTTGGCAGAGGTGTGGAATAAAAGATAAAGAAATGGAACATAAAGTGGGAGTTGTCACAGTTGATCTTTGCTGATGACCACTGTGCTATTCTGGAGATTTGAGAAATTTGCAGAGGTGTTGGTGGATGAATGGATGGTTGGTGGGATGTAAAAGAAGAAAATTAAAAGTGCACAGGTAAGCGTAAAGTTATGAGGTTAACAAAAGATTAGGTGATGAAAGATTGCATATCAGATTGGAGGGACGAGAGTATGGAAGAGGTGAATGTTGGTTAAAAATTAGATCATGTGCAAATCTGGGGTATCTTTGTTGAGAAATGTTTCGCTACACAGTGGCTTCATCAGTCACATACCAAAGGATAAATTTGAGACAGGGAGGAGAATGAGGTAATCAGTCCATAACCTAGTCGATGTAGGTCACGTGGAGGTCACAGTCCCAGAGCTGCTTTGGGATTAGCGTGGACGAGTTAACAAAGCATGGCTTCTTCTGCAGATGTTTTTAAAAATTGGAGGTTGGAGAGTTGACGGAAGGGAGGTTCTTGCTTCTCCAAGGAGGAGATTAGGAGGCTGAACGGTCCACCTCAATGGTTATGGGAGAGAGTGTGAGGTGGCTGAGTTGTGGGGAATGAGGACTTCTAGAAGTGAGGTGCAGTCTGTCTCTCGCTGTGAGGAGGCTGTAGTTGGGGAGGTAGCAACGGCTAACAGCAGTGAGGGGGCAGCCAGCACCCTGCTACAAGTGGCGTAGTGGTTCCAGTACATGGGAGGCGCCATCAGTGTAAGTTAACGTTATAAGGTGGACTTGAGGTTTCACGCGCGCGGAGCTAAAAAAAAATTCAGATGAAAATGTATGAAAAACTGAGTTATTTTACCAAAAAATAGCCTGAACTTCTGGCTACACGCTGTATAAATTTTATCCTTGTACGATGTTTCTAAAAGGAATTTCAGCCATTTATAACAGGCATTGGTGACAGCGCTGACGCGACATGATGCGTAAGATGCGCTGACTCAGCTCTGTTGACGTTTTTGTTACGTTTTTTCCCCGTGTTATTTTGATCGTTTTGTACATCTTTAGGTCCTAATATAATACAAATTCACCATCTGGATCTTGCCAGAGTGGGCGGAGCTAATGTGATCAAGGAACCCAATCGGGGAAACCCCTGGGAATAGTGCAAAAAAATGGCCGACACCCTCCAGCCAGCTAAATATTCACCATACCCTCGCTAATGATCAATTATAGGCTTATTTATCTATCATAATTGATCTATTAATGATATAATGCAATATAATAATAGCATATTAACATAAAAAGTAGCCTCAAAAAAACAAATAGATAGCATAATATGAGGCCCCACAAAGGGAATTAATTTCTATCGATTATTTCACTGAAGGTGAAGGAGGGTCCGACTCTCTCTTCAGTGATGGAGAGAAAAACGGAATTTACAATGAACTTACTGTAATAAACACTAGTAGGCCGAGGAAACAAGTGTAAAAATGAAGCGAACTTTTTCGGGAAAAAAATTGTTCCGGGCAGCGGGTGGGTGTCCGCGCCGCTGCGGCCTATATATCGAAAGTAAATTATTTACCTATTTAGGGGAAACAGCAGTTTTTAATTTATGAGTGTATTTTTTTGACTTTATTTTCACAAAAACATGGGAGAGTGATTGTTTTACGGGGTCAGCCGATTTTGTTTACGAAACTATCCAAAAATTATTTTTAGATTTATGTGGACAACATGGCCGACATCTTCCAATATATCAAAAAAAGTATGAAATTTATTTTTTGTTAGCAAGAAGATAAGGTTTATTTTAGAAGTTCTTCGATAGTGTTGGTTTAGATGTTGTCTAGCAGCAGGCAAGTGTCACAAACCACTTGTCCAGTACCACTACAAAACTGTGCCCTGCCAAATGCAATTTTTCGTAAATTTTCGATCATTTCATTTACTTTTTGGCCGTTATGATTTGAAACTTCAGCACCGCATAACTCGATATAACCTTCTAATAGTACACCCAAAAATGAAGTAATCGGTCCATAAAAAAGGTCGGTTAAATTCTGACCATATCAACATATCACTAAACATCATCAAAAAACACTGACAAAATCACAGTCCTTACTCTAAATCACAAATAATTACTGCAAATCACAAACACCGCAAACCATAGTCATAAACCTATTGTTATTCAAGTAGGAGGTAAGTTATCTGGAATTTTTAATGGTGGTGAAACCAGCAGGTCCTCAGACTTACACTCTAATATATATAGAGCAGATACACTTATAAGGAGACCGGTGTGGTCTCATGATGTCTGTGTGAGAAAGTACATATGTGCATGAGAATGTTTGCACACCTGTGAGTGACACAGGGGTTGGATATAAGTATTATACGTTGTGTCTGGGCAATTGTGTTTCAATATATATTATGGAGGCTATGGTCTCAGGACGGTAGGCCTAGGGGGGGCGTTGACCCCCGAAATCCTCTCTATGTATATTATCTACAGTGGAACGAGAGAATTGTGTGTGTGTGTGTGTGTGTGTGTGTGTGTGTGTGTGTGTGTGTGTGTACTTTGTGTACTTGCGTGTTTATTGTGGACATTTCAGTGTCTTGCATATATATTTAAAAAGGGGACGAACTCCACAAAAAGGAAATGTTGACATTTTTGTAGCAATTTCCTTGGTGGGATGACAGAGTCACATACGGACACAAATATAAAAATAATTGTAAACAAAACAAAAAAATAATGAAACTGCTTTTGTCCCTGTGTTTGTTTCTGGTACAGTTATTTACAAACTGCTGGACACATGTGTTTGTTTCTGGTACAGTTACAAACTGCTGGGACACAGTGTTTGCTTTCTGGTACAGTTTACAACTGCTGGACACATTCTTATATCAACTGCATAAATATTGTTAAGTGGAGACACTTGTTGTGAAGATGTAGGAAAGTACAGGATTCAATAAAGTACTTATCCACACACACACACACACTCACACACACAAACACACACTATATATATATATATATATATATATATATATATTTTATATTTGATATATATATATATATATATTATATATATATGATCTGTGTGTGTGTGTGTGTGTGTTGCGGCGCGCGCTTGTGATTGCATTCATATTAGGTTGGTATGAAGGTTGATGAGTGTTTTTTATACATGTTTGTGTGTGCCGTGCAGTTGCGATTGTTTTGTGAGTGTATGAATGATGGTGACCACGCAGGCTTGCCGTTGCACAACATGTGCAATGAGAGTGAAAATAAGAAGTGTGTGTAAGTTTTTTTAGGTTACAGATTTACATAAATAGTTACACAAATGATCATGCACAGTAACATATGCGTAAATTACCCAGGATAACCTTAAAAAGTCAGACAAAGTGATTATTTCTACTGGAGCGAGTCGCTTGTAACTCACGGCTGCGTCTTGCGAATATACAGGATAATTAAAACCAAATGAAAATAAGAAGTTCAAACACTTATTACAGTTATCGGTGGAGGTGGACAATCACACTAACAAACGAGCACTCATAAACACACACAAATATATTCACAAACCACTTGAAACTGCTAATTAAGTAAAAAATCTTAATATTTAAGGTAGAAAATTGTATAATTAATAGAACTTCCAAATTTCACTGAGTGACCAGGCCTTGGTGGCGAACTGGGACGGTAGCTTGGCTGGATCTGCTTGATCTACGATCTAGACTGTCTTAGGTGGGTGTATTTACAGGACGCCGTTTCTGTGTGTCACCTCCTGTAATTCCACCCACTGGACAGTCTCTACCGTATAGACCTGCTAAAACAAGGCCTCGTTCTCATTCTGGCTAGATCACGGAGGGATAATAACACTGGGGAAGGCTCGAGGCTGGAAGATATCCTAAGGGAAGTGAGGAAGGCGGAGACAATCCGGGGGCCCACGATGGATTCACTGACACATTGGACCTGGGAAAGAGCAAGGATACCTGGGGAAGTGGGGAAGGGGGGGGAAATATGAGGCGGACAGTTGGCTTCTCTGGAATCCTGGACCTGGGGAAAGAAGGAGATACTGGGTGCTAAGGCAGACCATGGGAAAGTGGGGAAGGGAGAACATCTGGGGGACTCGGATGGACTCCTGGAACATGGACTGGGAAAGGCGAGTGCACCTTGGGGAAGGGGGGGGGGGATATCTGAGGCGGACTCCTGGGAAAGAAGAGGATACTGGTTGCTAGCAGACCCTGGGAAAGTGGAGAAGGGAGCGAGAACGTACAGAGGGGCAGGGTGGACTCCTGGCACATGGACCCGGGAATGGCGAGAGCACCTTGGGGAAGGGGAAGGGGGGGGAGGAGGAATATCTGAGGCGGACTCAGGGGATAGGAAGGAGATACTGGTTGGCTAAGTAGACCCTGGAAAAGTGGGGAAGGGAGACATCTGAGGGGACCACGGATGGACTCCTGGAACTCATGGACTGGGAAAGCTGAGAGCACATTGGGGAAGGGTGGGGGGGAATATCTGAGCAGGAGGAATCATGGGAAAAACAGGCAGATTACTGGTTGCTAAGGCAGACCCTGGGAAAGTGGGGAAGGGAGAACGTCTGAGGGGACACGGATGGACTCCTGGACACATGGACCTGGGAAAGGCGAGAGCACCTTGGGGAAGGGGGGGGGATATCTGAGGCGGACTCCTGGGAAAGAAGGAGATACTGGTTGCTAAGGCAGACCCTGGGAAAGTGGAGAAGGGAGAACGTCTGAGGGGACACGGGTGGACTCCTGGACACATGGACCTGGGAAAGGCGAGAGCACCTTGGGGAAGTGGGGAAGGGGGGAGGTGGAATATCTGAGGCGGACTCCTGGGGAAAGAAGGGATTACTGTGTTGCTTCTAAGGCAGACCCTGGAAAGTGGGGAAAGGGAGAGAAGAACATCTGTGGGGACACGGATGGATCCTGGACACATGACCTGGGAAATGGCGGAGAGCCACTTGGGGAAGTGGGGAAGGGAAGGGGGGGTGGGAATATTGAGGCGGACTCCTGTGAAAGAAGGAGATACTGGTTGCTAAGCAGACCGGGAAAGTGGGGGAAGGGGGAGAACATCAGAGGGCACGGTGGGACTTCTGGACACAAGGACCTGGGAAAAGGCGAGAGCACCTTGGGGAAGTGGGAAGGGAAGGGGGGAAAGATCTGAGGGGACTCCTGGGAAAGAAGGAGATACTGGTTGTTGCTAAGGCAGCACCCTGGGAAAGGGGGGAAGGTGAGGAGAACGTCTGAGGGGACACGGGTGGACTCCTGGACACTGGACGGGAAAGGCGAGAGCACCTTGGGGAAGTGGGGGCCTGGGAAGGGGGGGGGATGGAGGAATATCTGAGGCGGACTCCTGGGAAAGAAGGAGTTTACTGGTGCTAGGTATAGACCACTGGGAAAAGTGGCGAGAAGGGAAGATCTTGAGGGGACACGGTTGCGACTACATGGACACATGGACCTGGGAAAGGCGAGAGCACTTGGGAAGGGGTGGGGGAATATCTGAGGCGGAATTCCTGGGAAAAAAGGAGATACTGGTGCTAAGGCAGACCCTCGGAATGTGGAAGAAGGGAGCAATCGTCTGATGGGGAAACGGATGGGACTCTGGACACATGGACCTGGGAAAGCGCGAGAGCACCTTTGGGGAAGTGGGGAGAGGGAAGGGGGGGGAATAACTGAGGCGGACTCCTGGGGAAAAGATGGAAGATACTGGTTGCTAAGGACAGCAACCTTGGGAAAGTGGGGACGGGAGATCATCTGTGGGGTCACGGTTGGACTCCTGGACACTTGGACCTGGAAAAAGGCGTGTGACACCTTGGGGTCAGGGGGGTAAGGGGGGGGGATATATATGAGGCGGACGCTGGGACAAGAAGGAGAACGGGTTGCTAAGGCAGCCCTGGGAAAGTGGGGAAGGGATGAACATCTGAGTGGGGACACGGAATGGACTCCTGGGACCAAATGGAACTGGGAAAAGGCGAGAGCACCTTGGGGAAGTGGGGAGGGAAGGGGGGGGGGATATCTGAGGCGGACTCATGTGAAAGAAGGGATATGGTTGCAAACGGCAGACCCTGGGAAAATGTGGGGAATGGGAGAACATCAGAGGGGACACGGATGGACTTTGGACACATGGACCTGGGGAAAGGCGTGAGACCTTGTGGGAAGTGGGGAAAGGGAAGGGGGATATATCTGAGGCGGATTGGGAAAGAAGGTGATACTGGTGCTAAAGAAGTCCCTGGGAAAGTAGGGGAGGGAGAACGTATGAGGGGACACGGGTAGGACTCCTGGACACATGGCCCTGGGAAAGGCTTGAGAGCACCTTGGGGGAAGGGGGGGGGGAATTCTGAGGCGGACTCCTGGGAAAGGAAGAGATACTGGTTGCTAAGGCAGACCTGGGAAAGTGGGGAAGGAAGAACGTCTGAGGGGAAACGGGTGGACTCCGGATTCATGGACCTGGGAAAGGTGAGAGCACTTGGGGAATGTGGGGAAGGGGGGGAGGAGGAATATCTGAGGCGGACTCTGGGAAAGCAGGAGATAATGGTTGCTAAGCAGACCCTGGGAAAAGTGGGGACAGGGAAGGGAAATCTGAGGGGGACCACGGATGGACTCCTGGACACATGGACCTGGGAAAAAGGCGAGAGCACCTTGGGGGAAGGGGCGGAATAAAAAAGGAGATTACTGGTTGCTAGGCAGACCCCTGGAAAGTGGAGAGAGAAGGGAGCGAGAAAGTCTGAGGGGGACACGGGGGGACTCCTGGACACATGGGACCTGGGAAAGGCGAGAGCAACACTTGGGGAAGTGGGGAAGGGAAGGGGGGAAATATCTGAGGCGGATCCGGGAAAGAAGGAGCTACTGGTTGCTAAGGCAGACCCTGGGAAGTGGGGAAGGAAAACGTCTGAGGGGACAAGGGTGGACTCCTGGGACACATGGCCCTGGGAAAAGGCGAGAGCACCTTGTGGGAAGGGGGGGGGGAATAATCTGAGCGGACTCCTGGGAAAGAAGGAGATACTGGTGCTAAGGCAGACCCTGGGAAAGTGGGGGGGAAGGGAGAACGTCTGGGGACACGGTTGGGACTTCTGACACATGGACCTGGGGAAAGGCGAGAGCCACCTTGGGAAGGGGGGGGGGGAAAATATCTAGGCGGAATCTGGGAAAAAAGGAGGATACTGGTTGCCTAAGGCAGGACCCTCGGAAAGTGGAGAAGGGAGAACGTCTGAGGGGACATGGTATGGGGGGGATAACTGAGGCGGACTCTGGGGGGAAAGAAGGAGATACTGGTTTGCTGGCAGGACCTTGGGGGAAAGTGGGGAAGGGAGAGAACATCTGAGGGGTCACGAGATGGACTCCTGGAAACATGGACCTGGGAAAGGCGAGAGCACCAGGGGAGGGGAAGTGGGTGAGTTGAGTGTGTTGGTCTATATAGCATGGGATGATCTCGCACGCGCACGTGTTGACTCTGCCAAAAGATTACACCGCAGTGGGAGTATTTTACGGGGTTTGCTAAGGCAGAAGTTTTGATTGGGGTGAGTAGGGCTGTTTTGGGTGTGTGTAGGTGTCCGCGATACATTGACGGGGCCCACGCATGGACTCTGGGAACCCATGGACCCGGAAAAGGCCATGAGAGCACTTGGGGAAATGGGGGGAAGGAAGCGGGAGGGGAATGTCTGAGGCGGACTCCTGTGGATAGAAGGAGATAATGGTAGCTATGCAGACCCTGGGAAAGTGGGAGGGAAGGGGAGTACATCTGAGGGGACAACGGATGGACTCATGGACACATGGACCTGGGAAAGGCGAGAGCACCTTGGGGAAGTGGGGAAAGGGAAGGGGGGGGGGAATATATGAGCGGACTTCCTGTGAGAAAGAAAGAGATACTGGATGCTAAGGCAGCACCCTGGGAAAGTGTGGAAGGAGAGAACATCTGAGGGACACGGATGGACTTCTGGAACACGATGGACCTCCTGGGAATGGCGAGGCACCTTGGGGAAGTGGGGAAGGAAGGGGGGAAATTTCTGAGGCGGAACTCATGGAATGAAGGAGATATGGTTGAAGGCAGGACCCTGGGAAAGTGGGGAAGGGAGAGAACGTCTGAGGGGACACGGGTGCGGACTCCTGGGACATGGCACCTGGGAAAGGAGAAGGCACATTGGGAAGGGGGGGGGGTGAAATATCTGAGGCGGACTCCTGGGAAAGAAGGAGATACTGGTTGCAAGGGCGTCCATGGGAAGGGGAGGAAGGTGAGAAGTTGAGGGGACCACGGTGTGGACTCCTGGATACATGGAACTGGAAGGCGAGAGCACCTTGGGGATGTTGGGGAAGGGGGGAGGGAGGATATCTGAGGCGGGGATCCTTGGAAAGAAGGAGATTCTGGTTGCTAAGGCAGACCTGGGGAAAGTTGGGAAGGAGGACATTGAGGGGACTCGGATGGACTCCTGGACACATGGAACCCTGGGAAAAGGCGGAGAGCACCTTGGGGAAGGGGGGAAAAAAAGGAGTTTACTGGATGCTAAGGCAGACCCTGGGAAAGTGGAGAAGGGAGAAGTTTCTGAGGGGTCACGGGTGGACTCCTGGACACATGGACCTGGGAAAGCTTAGAGCACCTTGGGAAGTAGGGAAGGGGGGGGAGGAATATCTGGGCGGACTCCTGGGGAATGAAGGAGATACTGGTTGCTAAGGCAGACCCTGGGAAAGTAGGTAGGAGAACATCTGAGGGGACACGGAATGGGACTCCATGGACACATGGCCTGGGAAAGGCGAGAGCACCTTGGGGAAGTAGGGAAGGGGGGTGGTATATCTGAGGGACACAGATGTTGACTCCTGGACACATGGACCTGGGAATGCTGTGAGGGGACACAGATGGACTCCTGGACACATGGACCTGGGAAAGGCGAGAACACCTTGGGAAGTGGAAAGTGGGAATATCTGAGGCGGTCTCCTGGGAAAGAATGGTGATTCTGGTTGCTAAGGAGTCCCTGGAAAAAAGTGGGGAAGGGGAACAATTGAGGGGACAAAGGATGGACTCCTGGACACATGCATCCTGAGGAAAGCATCAAAACAAAATAAGTGGATGGGTGGACCTTAAAGACGAATCCACTGGCATCCCACGTTGGCAAGGTCTGGTATCACTGGCCTCTCCAAGTGGCAAGGTCTGGTAAACATGGCATCCACGTGGGCAAGGTCTGGTAACAACTGGCCTCACGTGGCCAAGGTCTGGTACACTGGCCTCCACGTGGCAAGGTCTCGGTAACTAGAGATAACTGATGCTCGACAATGGTCGCAAATAATAATGACTAATTAGATTTCTTATAAAAATATGTTATGTAATTATTCTAACATTTATCATTTTTGGGCAGCTTTAAAAAGGGAAATGTTTTGGGGCTCGACCCGGTTTATCAATTTATTAATACTCTTATACTGCCATCTTAAAAATTTTAGGATATTTTTTTTTTACTATGAACGATTATTAATAAATGGAATCCGTCATTAGCTGAATGTTTGGGACTGATTTCCTTTACCCTTGATTCACCTCGAGACTTGATAAAAATTAAAAAAAACAGCAAAACAAAAAAGGCATGAAGAGAGTGTAACCTCGACATGATAAGAGTGAGAACACAGAGATAGTCCCCATCAATCTAGCTACAGTAACTTTGAGGAAGTTGTATCGCCCCGATGAGAGATTCTATGATCCTCTTCCTCTTTAGAATATGTTTTCCTTCTATTCATCAAACACATTTCACTATAATCTTCCGAGCAATAACATTAACCACCAGCTCTCGATGAATAACGAAGTATCCATTATTATTATAATCAAGGGGAATCGCTAAACACGGAGGGATTA